TGGAGTCATGTGAACATAACGTCCAGTCCCCGTCAGCAGCCTGGCAGCTCTATTTTGGACCAATTGAAGTATCCGGACCGTCTTCAAGGGTAGCCCCACGTAGAGCGCGTTACAGAAGTCCAGACGGGAAGTCACCAACGCATGTGTCACTGTCGCAAGGCAGTCGTTCTCCAGATAGGGGCGCGGCTGATGAATCAGCCGAAGCTGGAGGAAAGTGCTTCTCGCCACTGCTGTTACCTGAGCTTCCAGTGAAAGCTCCGGGTCGAGGAGCACTCCCAAGCTGCGGACCTTGTCCCTAAGAGGGAGTGCAACCCCGTTCAGGACAAGGTTCAATTCACCCTCTCCGAAGCCCGATCTGCCAACCAACAGGACCTCCGTCTTGTCTGGATTGAGCTTCAGTTTATTGGCCCTCATCCAGCCCATTACCTCGGCCAGGCACCGGTTCAGCACAGCCACTGCCTCACCTGGATTGGTGGAAAACGAGAGGTAGAGCTGGGTATCATCAGCGTACTGATGGTTCCGCAGCCCACACCTCCTGATGACCTCTCCCAGCGGTTTCATGTATATGTTGAACAGCAAAGGGGACAAAATGGACCCCTGCGGTACTCCATGGCATAGCTGCCATGGCGCAGAGCCATAGTCCCCCAGCACCACCTTCTGGAACCGGCCATTGAGATAGGAGCGGAACCACTGCAAAGCAGTGCCTCCGACCCCCATTCCCGCAAGCCTATCCCGAAGGATACCATGGTCGATGGTTGCAACAGGCCATATTGCTGTTGAGTTTAGGGGTGATGACAGGATTCCAAATAGGCTGAGACTGGCTGAGGCCTTGGAGAACATAGGCAGGTTTATACAGGCCATAGGACTGAAATAAATACTGCCGGCAGCAAGAGCTGCTTTGGTTGGCTGTGAAACCAAAATCTCTTAGGATTGGCTTGCCTCAGGGCTGGCATACCTGTGTTCTTGCTGTTTGACTATTATATACTAGATGAACTAACGTTAAGTCGGTGGACAGACTCCAATGACAAGCATTGTGAAACCCAAATTCTTCCAGTGGTTTTTGAACCAGATTGAAGCCATGTGCACCCATGTAGGAAGCAGCCTGAAAGGCGAATCCATATTTTTAGGTTAGCATGCAGGCCCAGGACTGGCCCAAAGATTTGGGTGGCCCTTGCACAAGGGAGACAAGGCCTGGAACAGGCAAGGCATGACAAAGAATTTTCTGGTGCAGCTTCTTCCTAACTGTCATGGGCAATCATAAAAACAAGGATGGCAGGAGCTCTCTTGGGGTGGTGTGTCTTTGCCAGTAGGATGGCCACTTATGGAGGCCCCACAGATAGGAAAGGCATCACAAAAAAAGACACATGTTTGCTTAACATTTTCATGTGTATCTCTTTCTCTGAGTTGTTATTATATTCAAGAAGGAAAACAGTGCATCTAACCATAATAGGAAGACTGGCCTGGCAGCCTGCTTCTCTCTCTGAGTCTGTGGTCCTGCTAACTATTGATGGACAGCTTTGAGGCCCCTGCTGCTTTCCCTTCTTATTGTTCTTTATCATTAACTTAAACCAGATTTGGACAGGACAAGCCTTCAAATAGAGGATGCCCTAGAGGACTGTGCTCTGAGAGACCTTCAAATAGAGATTGTCCTCTGTAAAAGGACAATGTCTGCTGCAATTTAGTGTTCTTTCCCCTTTCCTTTTAAGTTAGTCATTTCTTTGGATTGAAAAATCAATAAGAACTCAAATCTGGGAGCCTAACCTAACTTATTTTCAAGTCAAACACTGGTTGCAATCGGAGTTGTATCCAACCTTTGATCCTTATTATGAAAGAGCCTGGACTGATTTTCCCCAGGAGGCTGAAATCTTTTTTATCTGTTCTCGGAGCAAGGACAGCACATCAGAAACAGCAGGGCAAGCTGATATTCGCATGCCAAGATGCTTCAGAATGGCCCTGCAGGCTATTGCATTAGGAGACTGGAGAACAGCCTGGTCTCCAGTCCTCCATTCCAAGGGAGCAAGGGGATAAGATTTGCCTTTCACATACTTAGGACTCCAGTGAAACTAGCAGTCACATAGAGATGGTTCCCATACTTCCTTGTGGCCTGTAGTGGGTGGTACCCACCCATTTCATAGGACTTGAGGCCAGTTACTGTTGGCCATGTAACTCAGCTGAGAATGTATAGGGCTTCCTGTCTATTGTAGGAACCACTGCTGTGTAGGGTTGCTCCATATAATTCTGGTGGTTGGCATAGTTGTGATGGGAGCTGGGTCTGACCATCCATATCTTCCTATCAGCCTGCTAAGCACATCACAGGCTCCTGTACTTGATTATAGAAAAGCTTCAGAGTCAGGCCTGAAACTTTAGACCAGGGTGAGAAACTTATGGCCCTCCAGGTTTTTCGGCTTATAGCTACCCATTGGTGATGCTAACTAGGACTGGTGGGCATTGTAGGCCAGAAGACCTGGAGGGCCACAAGGTGCTCACCTCTGCACACGATCAAGGGTTTTCAGATGCAGGAGCCTATAAATCTCCAAATCCATGAAGGCTATATCCTTACTTAAAAATAAGCACAGAAAATGAAAGGCTAATTTCTAGGAATTGTTTCTTAAGCAGTTCACGCGGGTCATACAAGCATGGTGACTGGTTAGAGTGGCATTTTTCTCAGTATAGACAGTTCAGTTGCCAAGGACCTGCACTGTCTGCTCTCCAGAGGTTGTATAAGTCTGCCTAGTTGCTGACACAATAGTTATTTTCTGGGGGAAAGGTTTCTTCCCCCCACTGCACTTTTTTTCTCCTAATCAGGGAGCAAACAGCTGCACTGCTGCCAGAGCTTTCCAGTTCCTTCAGGCTGTTGACTGTTAGTTCAGTGCAGCTGTGGTGAGGGACTAGGGGAGCATGAACTGCCACAGCACCATTTTCTACCCCCTGAACTATACAGTTGTGAAAATAGGATACTAGGCAAAGGGCAGAGTGGTCAGGGGGTGGAAATGGATTTCAGGTCATTGTAGGAGTCCAGAAGTCAAACTGTTACTTTGCAGAGCTACAGAACTGGGTGTCCCTTGGAGGCAAAATGTTTGCTTCAGTACCAGCTCCAAATTTTGGAAGACCTTTGAGCAGGACACCCTTCACGGGCACCTTCGCCCCAGTCGCCAGTTGCGACTGCTCCTTGTCCTTTTCCTCATAATTGCCACCGTCGGCTTGCTTGACCGTCAGACAGCCTGTGCAAGAAGGCTGGGGCATCCCTTGCTGTTCCTCACCATCACCAATGCCTGGACCAATCTGAAAGGCAGGCAAATAAGTCAGTTAAAGTGGTGAGAAGAGGCACACCTCTTGTCTGTTGGCCCCTGCTACAGTCTTTGTGCTCTGCAGGGGCCCACCCAGAACCATAGCCTTGATTTGCCTGCTACCCTGAAAAAACAATCTGAAAAAAAGAGCCTTTATGTTGGGTTTGCTGGATCATTGCTTCTGAGCTGAGGGCACTGTACAGATACTTGGTTCCTGTTCCATGTAGTTCATTCTCCCCAAAGACATTCACACATTTCAGCAGCAGTGCCGGTATGTTTATCCACAGAATGTACCTGGCAGCCAGGCCAATCCGCCTCCGTTCCTAGGGAATGCTAATTGCTCTGTAGTATAGTACATGTTTTGCATGCAGTAGATCTCAGATCCCGCTCCCCAAATCTCCAGTTAAATAGCAGTGCTATCTAAAACGAATAAACAATCCAGCCTGTATGATTGGAATGCCCCAGGGCATGTGGTATATTTGTTCTCATGCAAAAGAGAAAGGAATAACACAAAGATCCTTTATGCAGAGAAGCTTGGACTGCACATAAGTTAAGACGACTTAATCTTTTTATTAGCACATGCAAAAGAAGCAATAAAAACAGAATGGTCAGAATTGGCAAGCTGCATAGTAAACTGCTGCTTAGTTATTATTGGCAAAATGTTGGAAACACCCCAAAACATGTAACTTCAAGAAATGGATTGTTCAAATGTTGGGCTATGCCATAATGGTGATGAACTATGTAAGGCTCAGAGAAAGGCGTACAAAATTTGATTTGTTTATATGCAGTTAGAAACCAGATATAAAATTATGCAGTCAAGATAGTCAGGATCTTTTATATCCAAAATTGCAAAGTCTGTTTTGGATTACTGCAAGAATGGCTATTTAAAGTTCTTGTTTGTCTGTCTGTGTTGCATTTCAGGAGCTCATGTTTATTTAATCATAGGATTTGTAAGTTAGACAGTATTACAGGTACAGGTGACTCCCATGGTCCCATAAGTTTTCCTTATGAATGGGCTGGGGACCCTCACCTACTTACCCACAGATCCACAGTGCTTTTTCCTTTTAGCAAAGAAAATATTTGTAAATGGTTGTACTTATGCAATGCCAATTGTAAGAGTATGTGTTTGGACTCATTTTTTTTTAAAGTTTTACTGCTGGCTGGGTCTTCCGAAAGCTTTGGAGAGTTGGTACCAGCCAGAGTACAGAATCTGGTGGCTCATTTGGAAAGAACATCTGGCAATGCCAGCTTCCCAAGGTGAAGACCAATTTGGACTTCAGATCAAAGTGCTCTAGTTCTTTGATCGGAGCTGATAGCTAAGAAGCATGGTATTGGGGATGGCTGATGCAGAGGCACAGGCAAAAAGATCCAGATGTGGCCCTTGGTGTTATTTGTTCTTCTTTAAAAACTAGCTACAGCTGCTAATCTCCTCCTTGTATCCTTTCTAGTTGATGACCAGCCACAGTGTCTCTGCTGTGTGCTGTTGCCATCTGTGGCGCTGCTGGTATATTCAGAGGGAAGATGGCATTCTGGACACAGCTGAGCCTGCTGCTATGGAAGAATTTCACCTTTCGGAGGAGGCAAACGGTAAGCTCACAGGCACACAATGAGATTTGCATTCCCGAACTAGGCAGGTATATTGTGTCTTGGTTTCCAATGCAGGGCCTTCTCAGGTCTTGGTTTTTGGTCCAATAAATGCATGCATCACTCAGATGTGCAAAACTCCCATTGACGTGGTCCATCTTTATCCTCTGAATGGGTTCAAGTGTGGTGCAATTTTTGACGTTTTATTTAAAGGGGCTTGGCCTGTAAGACTTGAAGCTGCATGAGTTGGGTCTTAAGGTGTGTTTCCATGCATGCAAAGGCCTTTGACCCAGTGGAGGCTTCTGCTAATAGAAGGGGCAAGAGGTGATTTTAATTAATTGCTGCTTACATGCCCTCTCTGCAGGGCTACCCTGTGGAACAGGACCTGAGAATCCATCTTGCATTGTGTAGACAACAGGAGTGCTGCAAAGGGACATCCCCGCAACTCCTGTCTTTCAGTGCAGTCACAGTTGCTTACCATGTGACACAGCAGTGTTTCAGAGTGAGCTTGGCCACCTGTCCCAGAGGCTACCAGTGATGTGAAGCAGGAAAACACACAATATGATAGTGCTGTATTGTGTGCTAAGTATATTCAAATATTGCTGCTGCTGCTGCTTGGACATAGGGATACATGAGGAATCTGTTTGGGAGTGGGAATCCAGTGGATTCCTTGAATTCCAGTGCCCATTGCAGTGGTTCTGAGTTCAAGTACCTGGTGAGTGCTCCCAGTATTTATGGGGTACTGGCCAGGAATCAGGCTCCATGTGCTGCACAAACTGCACCCCTTTTTTGCACCTGGCACTGTTGCTGCCAGCTGCACTGGGCGGGGAAGAAGGTTTGTCAGCAGGAATGGCGCCCAGCACACCCGATTACAGCACCCCTCTTCTGCATCCTGCAGCCATTTTTTGGGAAGCTACATCTACTGGGGAAAGTTGCTCCTCTTGTTTTGGCTCACTTTAGAACTAGGCTGAGCATAAGCAGAGGTCCATGGATGCCAGAGGGATGGATTCCAAAAGGGCTTGTCCCAACCCTACTCAGAGGACACTACAGGATGTTTATTTCAGTGGTATCCCTGTGATTTGTGTTATGTTTAAGCTCTGTCTGAGATGTTTCCTGACACAATTTGATGCCTGATGCAAAAACCATAATATAAATGGATCTTCAGTAATATACAGAACAGGGGAAAAAAACTCTGTGTGCTCCCTCATCTTAGGTGTAACAGGCATGTTACAGTGGGTAGAATAAGCAGTATGGACTCCTGAAAATATATAGATGTCTTTTCAAAATGTGAGATAAAGAAGCACTCTGGTGGTTCTCTGTATGTAATGCAGATTATAAGGAACATACATTCATTTTCAAAATCTTACACCAATGCAACAAAAACCTGCCAGAAACTCAGAGAACTGCCAATAGCTCTGTTTATTATCCATCAACTTTTCCTGCATTATGGTAAGGTAATGTCACAGGAGCATTCCAAACTGTTAACAACAGATCTGGGATGGTGGGTGGATGGGATCTACCTTTTGCATTCCAGGGATTTGTTTGACCCCAGGAATGAACTATCCTGGATGAAGAGTCCTAAGGGAATCCTCTTTTAAAGTCTCACTGCTTTTAAGGTTAATATTCTTCAGTATTGACTTATAATCGGTGTGCCTTGATGCTGCTTCACATCAACTCGGTTGTGTCGAAAATGTTCGCCTTTCCTCATTCCTCAGGTCCTAAGTACTAGTACAGGGTAGTTGGGCTTTGGAATTGAGTACACCGAAGGTATATGCTGCATTTCCTAGCATTCTTTAGCGAGAGATACTGTGGTTCCTGGGTCTAGAGGTGTACTGTGGACATGACTTGATGCAGAGATGAGGAATATGTGGTCCTCCAAGTGTTTGGACCTGCAATTTCTGTCATCCCTGAGCACTGACTACACTGGCTGAGGCTGACAGGGGTTGCAATCCAATTAGCTATGCCTCCGTTTTCACTCTAAGTCATTACAGGTGGGGGGTGTCCTTCCTGGCAATGCAGTTCTCAAATCTGCTCAGTATGAAGGGCAGTATTTTTTCGGTATTTTTTCCCTCTCCAGAATGGTTGGGACTAAAATTGCCTCCCTTACACACCCTTCACATGTTTAGGGGAAAAATTCCCCTTGGCACCTCTAGGAACTGATTTGAAAAGTGGATTAAAACCAAGAAGGTTTGGGGAAAATTAAGCATTTCCCTTGATTAGAAAGGAATCCTCAAAATCGCTTGAGAAGTACAAAACATTGGCACAAGTCAGCTTTTAAAAAAATCTGAGCAGAGCAGCTTTCTTTAACTCACGACCTTCTAAATGTGTACGACTGCTACTCCTATCATTTCCAATGTTCAAGTTATATGGGAATGATAGGTATTGCAGTCCAACACATCTGGAGAGCATCAGGCTGGGGAAGGAAAGAACCTGAGTCCTAAATAAAACCTGGGATGGAGTTACGCCAGATTTTAGTATGTCAGGACTGCTAGGAAAACAAAGGGTGGATTACTAAGCACTGATAGCTACTCATCTGGAACTTATGTCAATGGAAGAGCTCTGCTTCTGCAAAATTTGTATCACAATGTTAATGTGAACATGGGCACATGAAGGTGGTTAACTGTGCCCATTTCCAAGTACTTTTCCTACCGTTTACTTTTGATCTTCTTGTGAAATTCACATGATTAGCTAAGATAATAAAGAAGACTGCCCATGCTGATGCATCCCTACAGACAGTATATGCAGTCAGGCAGCTGAATCTGATAATGCCCCCAGCCCCTAGTGACCTCTTTGCCAGTTTCAAGAAGAACCTGATTGCCATCATTAAAAAAGAAAGGCTTCCAGCATTGTGTTATGACCTATGCTTTTGTCTCTTGATGAGCCAAGTTCTTCTGGACAGCTTCTTGCACAGCATATATGCTATTCCTGGAACATTCATTTATTTGTTTGTTTGATTTCTATACTGGCCATTAACCAAGACGGTTCGCTCATCAGACAGGAGAAGTGCTTTGCAAATATATTCTCCACCCAGCAAAAACTGAGTTCCTGCTTTCTGTGTTTTTGTGGAAGAAGTGTTCTCCAGTACCATCCCCTGTGATAATAATGCCATTCCTAACTTCAAGACTCCTTCTCAGGTCAGCATCCCACTTCATGGTACTTTTTTGTTTTTAAGCCCCTCTGAAACTCAGTGTGGGTGCTATCTCAGCGGTTTTTCTTGTTTCGAAGTGACATTTTTTCTTCTGGGAGCCAATAAGGACAGGACTTCCATTGGCACAATAGCTGGGAGGGGAAGAACTTTCTAGCTGCAAGGGTCATGTGTCGGGGCTGCATTCCAGCAGTGGATGTTGCCAGAGCCCAGAGTGAGTGTGGTCATCCCACACTTTCACATACACACTTACAAACACTGCCTATCAATTCACATTCACACACAAATCTGTCTTCACCAAATCTGTTCGGCTCTGTGATGAACTCACTCTGTCCAGGAGGAAGAGGATCTTTTCCTTTTTTTTTTTTTTTTTTTAACAAAAAATGGTGTTGAGACAGGAAACCCATATGAAAAAGGTTGGCTAAGGGTGTTCTTTGGGGAAATAGTTCACTTTCACCCACCCGTGAACTTTTCTTTCTTGGAAACTTGAACCCTTAAGCAGTGATGTAGGAGATACAAGTTGCTGATAATCAAATTGCAGCAGCATCCTCAACTAATAATCTCAGCAGTTTTCCTTCAGGCTGTCTAATGCATGCTCTTCATCTGAGTTTTCACTGCTTCAGTCTTCAGCACTTGTCCAAGGAGAGGCATGGTGGAGAAGAAGCGTGCCCCTTCATCCTCTCTCTCTCTCTGTCCCTCCCTCTGACACTTACATGTGACCGAGGCATTCTGCTCTTTGAGTGTCATAACATGACAAAGTCTGGTTCATGGCCAGAAAAAAAGGAGTGGGGGTGGATTGTGCAATTGAGCAAGCGCACAGAGTGCCCACATCATGCACTGCATTATATATATGGTAGAGGAGAAAAGCAGCAATTAACCCTATAGCCTAGCTTGCATTTGACCCTATATACTAGCTTCAGTTATAATTATTGTGGTTAACGCAGGACTGGGAAAGTTTTAGCCCTCTAGATGCTTGGGCCTACAAGTCCCATCATCACTCGCCATTGGCTGTGCTGACTAAGACTAATGGAAGTTGGAGATCAAAGCATTTGGAGTGGCACCACATGGCCATTCCTAAGTTTAATGCTGATGTGACATGCTGTGGAAGTTCTAACTGTGACTTTCTGGCTGATGTTGCCACCTAAAGTTGTGTTGTAGAGCAGTGGAGATACCTGTGTGAATTGCCTGGCTGTATCAGTCCTAGCAATTCTCAGTTGATCTTGATTCTGTTTCTCAGTGCCATTAGCTACTTTACAACAATTTGGATTTTCCATCTCCACTTCTGTATGCAAGGTCATAGAAAAGAGAATGCTGTCTGATAGCAGGTAACTACAGCTGGCCGTTTATACAATGGCAATTTGCCACAATGGTACACATGACAGCTTCCAAAGCGTTCACATGCACACCATGGTAAGTTCCTATTCGACAAACAGTTGTCTCTGCTTACCACCCATTGTGTAAACATATGCCCAAGTAATGTTGACTGCCAGTCCTTTTCATGAGCCAAGGTTCTGTAGGATCTATACGGTCATGCAAGATGTCAGGGATATGGCAGACTGTGGAGCTCCAAAGTCCAACTGTACTACTGGTGCTTGGCTGTCAGTTTTCCACGAGTGCAGCATCTTTCAGCAAAGATGCACCAATAAGCTTGAAGCCCTCATTGACCTAGACATTATGTAAATGAAGCATTGGCACCATCAGCGCATAGCAGAGGTAGGCACCTCCAGGTGTTTTGGCCTACAACTCCCATCAGCCCTAGGCAATGGTGGGGAATCATGGAAGTTGTAGGCCGAAACACCTGGAGGACCCCAGTTTACCTGCCAGCTGTGTGTGAGTTGCCACTAATACTGGTAAATTTTCTGGTGCTTGGGACCTGTAGGGAAGGCAGTGGCATTGAACGCCCCCCCACTCCAAATGCCAGATGGCTCCTAGTGGCCTAGCAGTCTATACTGCATCCACTCTTGTTGTTCTGTAGCACTGCTTGTACCATCTTCTTAGATAGTTGGCTGTTTTCAAATAGACATGCATTGATGCTGAATGAAGACCTGAATATGTGCGTGTTTGCTCAGTCCAAGCCCCTGAAGTAGTTCTTCACCCACAGAGTTCAGCAAGGATATACTTTGTCCTGGACAACTTCCAGCAGCACAGCACCAATGTAACTCTTGCACTGCACACGTCAAGCTGAGCTTTGTACCCAACTTTCGCAATGGTTATTTCAGCTGCTGCAGTTTGGAAAAGGGAAGGGAAATGCAGGCCAAGCCTTCTGTGGATTGAGCTCTTATGGGGGAAAGGAGCTTTCAGACAAACAAACAAACAATCTAAGTACTAGTTTTTAAATAAAAAGATCTTTATGATTAACAGCAGTGTTTGGTTGTAGAAAAATAACAATGGGCCCTGTCATATATGTTTGCAATCTAGAACACTCCTTGATCAAGATGCCAACCACTTCATTCCACCAGCGCCTACCATCTGGCTTTCTACTACCCGCTCCAGCAGTCAGTCACCATTCAGTGGTTACTGAGCATCCTCAGTCCTCACTGAGCTGATAGGGGGTTTATTCCTCCCCTGAACATGTGATTCTTTTCTCTGTATTTCTGCAAACTTCAGGTTTTACAGAAGCCTGCTGATTCAGTCCTCTTGTGCATAGGTAGTGCCACTCTGGCTCCTTAAGTAACACTACCTACAACTTAAACATTGGTAATAAGAATTAAATTTTGCTCAGTTATACAAAATTATGCCTTGAGACCAGGCTTGGGACCAGGATACCTGAAGGACTGCCACCTCCTACCACCTTAGATCAGCTTCAGGGGCTCTTCTGAAGGAGCCATCTTCTAAGCCTTAGAATCTAAGGGGTTGAGGAGGATGACAAAGAGAAGAGGGACCTTTTTGGTGAATGTGCCCCACTCGTGGATTAGCCTCCCTAGAGTAGTTGGCCTAGTCCCTTCATTACAGTCTTTTTGGCAGCAAATGAAAATGGTTTGATTCTCCAGACATTTTAATAATTGATTTTTATTGTAATGATTTAAGAGAAAACTCTTATGAGGTTTAATGATTTTAATTCACCATGCTTTGATTAATTCCTCTGCTGTTATAATTTTTATATTTATATTATGGTTATAGTATTTTAACTGTTTTATTATCTGTTTTTGCATTGTTGTGACTGTGAACCACTCATAGAATCTAGTAGAGAAAGTATATACATTCAGTAAATAAATACATAATACATACATTCCAGTCAGCCCCAGCAGGACTACCTACCCTCTGGTTCGGTGGACTGAAAACCCTGGAGGACTGTATAGGTAGTGCAGAACACATTAGAGCTGCCTTTTTCCATACTGCAGTCTTGACTTCTGGCATACTAGATTCAAAAAAGGTTGCCTGCCACTGCTCTAGAACAGGTTGGGGGACTTCTTTCGGTCCGAAGGCCAAATTCAAAGCGCTATGGGGTCTGCATTCCACTGGTGGGCCCCACTGAAGGCCAAAGGGGTGGGTCAAACATACCTGCCTCAGGAAAGGCAGGTCAGCCTTTTAGAAAGGTGGTTGGAAAAGGAGGAGGTACCCTCTGAGGAATCCCAAAGGACCAGATTGGGACCTGAGGGAGTGGACCTGCCTCCTGGGCCTGAGGTTCTTTACCTGTGTTCTAGAGGACACAAACTACTCAGGCCTGGAGATAGATTCTGGAGAGGGATTCATTTTGCATGACCTCATGAAGTGTCAAATTTTCTAGACTCTTAAGATGGAGGTCAAAAGGACCTGGGCCTTCTTTGAGGCCTCTGATGATGCAATTGGGGTGGCACTACTAGCGTGCCATGTTTCTCCTATAGCAGGGTAGGTCCCCCTTAGCCACTTGTATGAGCCCATGAGAAAAGTGGCAAGAGGGTCCATGATCAGGCACAAATGGACAAAGGTGGGACCACCCCCACTAGTTTTTGCTACACAATTCAAATGGGCCCTGTGACTGTACAGTGGTACCTTAGCTCACAAACTTAATCCGTTCCAGGACTCTGGTCGTGAACCTAATTGGTTGTGAATCAAGTCAAATTCCCCTACAAGGTTCAATGTAAATAAGGTTAATCCGTTCTGTAACTGTATTTTTTTTAACCACAAACAATTGATGCAAAGTGACAAAGAACAACAAAGATTGCGGCCACCCCCCCCACCCCCGAGCACGAGTGCAGCCATCTGCCCCTCCCCCAGCACGACTGTGATCGAGTTCGTCATCCCTACATGCGTGCGACCGCAATTGTGGCCATAGATGGGGAATCGCAGGCATGCTTGCGGGGGTGGAACAGACACGATCATGGGCGCGCTCGGGCATGGGCGGGGGGGGGGGGGGAGACGGACGCAATTGCAATCATCACCCGATGCAGAGTTTGCGACCTGAGGCAAATTTTTTCAGAAACTTCTGTTCGCAAACCAATTTGGTCATTAACTGAGGCGTTTGTGAGCTGAGGTACCACTGTATCTCTGAATTCTACTGTGTTAAGGCATTTGATTCTTTATTACACCCTCCTCCCAGTCACTTTTACCCAAGGAGACCAAGATAGTATGCAGAGTTCCCATGTTGTCACCAGTCAAAATACTAACCAGATCAGATAGTTTAGCTTCGATGGGGTATCATGTGCCTTGAATCCAAGCCATAGGCCTGCCCTATGTACTCTGTTTGTGGTCAGGGGAGAAGGAGTGGGATTTATTTACAGTTCATATGTAGCTGGTTACAGTAATGTCCACAGCACTTCTGTATATCTTTGACCCTCTGTTAAATGTCAGTTATCTAAATTTAGATATTCATGTTGAAGCAATGTGGGGGCATTGAACAGTGGCTCCTGTACTGACATGCAAACGTGTCACTTGGAAAGAACTGTACAGATGAGCATATGAAATATTTCCCTTTGAGTGAATAAAATCAGTTCCAGATTTGGTACAGTCTTCAAGAGCTGGAAGTTTGTGCGGGGTGGGAGAGATGCTTGTGTGCATGTATGTGTACACATTTTACAAGATACTGTGCTTTTTTGCAAGAAAATAACCTTACATATTGATTTGAGAAGCTAATGGCAAACTGGTGCTGTCAAAACGTTTTGCACAACAAGCCCCAAATCCTTTATTATTTACAAAGTTAGCTAGAGCAAAAATCTGGTGAGCACCAGGTCTAGAGAGCATACTAGTCTAAAATGATTAACCTGTAAATCAGACACAGATATCTGTGAATTCCAGTATGCAACAAAACAGGTCACCCTTCAGTGGCCAGTTAAAAAACTTTGCCCAAATACTGAATTGTAGCTAGATGAGTTAACTGCACTGTTCTGTCAGAATAGAAATATGAAGCTAGACACATCTCTGGTCTAATGTTCAAATAAACCAAGATATTTGATCATGATTAGGCAAGATTCACCTCTTTGTTCTCAGTTTCTGGATCCCACAAAGTGTGAGTGTATAATACTTTGCTTTTCCTCCCTTTTCTCTTCTAGTTGCAGCTGGTGGTTGAAATTATGTGGCCTTTGTTTATCTTCTTTATTCTGATCTCCATACGGCTGTTTTATCCACCCTATGAACAACATGAATGTAAGTACGAAACACGGTCTGTTGGTACAGTGTTTTGTTGAACATTTGGTACAGTGTAAACCTGGAAAGGAAAGGGGAGTAATAGTGTGCAAGAGGTGAGAAATGTATATGTTTGTATATACATTGGGTAGGAAGGAGTGCTCAAAAGTCTACAAAAAGTGTAAGTAATCCTCAGATTTGAATTATATTCCCTTCCTTGGAAGCCTTTTGTCATTACTAAGAATGGATCTAAAAAGGGAATTACTATAAGATCCCCAAATTTTAAATGATGCTTTTTTAAAACTAAGTTCTCTTTTTTAATCAAAAGTTGATCCCAGGTTGGCTATTTGGTGATATGATGCTGGAAAAATCAGTATTATGAAGATTTCAGATTAATTTAAAATGTCTTAATGGGATTGTTTCAAACTGTTATTTTCTGTTGTTTGCATTTCTTTTTCAAATTTTGTTATTGTGAATACTTAATTATTAATAGAAAATGAGAAATAAGAGTTACAAAAAATGTGACATGTTTTATGGAAATATCTTATCACATCTCATACATACTACATGTCCTTCCTCCAAAGAGCTTGGGGAAGTAACCTGGGAATATCAATGACCCTGTGAGGAAGGTTAGGGTAAGAGAAGTTTTATGTACTTTTAAAATGCTGTGCATTATGAGTATTCAGATTTATAGTTACAAATCCTAGCTCAATCATGTCTGAGCAAGACCTGCTAAAATTGGAAGACACTATGGTGAACATAGCCTGCAGGCCATCAATGATGGACTGCTGAACCATTAACAGTTCAAGGGTTTTTGGTTTGCTTAGTGTACTAACCTGCAAAAAACAGAAGTATTATAAGTCCTCTGGATGGTCACAGTCTGTGCATGGTGGGCTCTGTACCATTTGATTTTAAAGATAACAGACTGACTGATCCTAGCCCAGAATTTGCAAGAATGTAGGAGAGTAGTGAGTAATCAGCTGGTGATAGAAGGGGAACTTGCAGGATTGCCCAATGGTTTAAAATCCTTCATCTTTTTTGATACTATCAGAATCTGCTATTCTGAAAAATTGAATATCCCTCTGTTTGTCAGCTGGTGAGGTTGTGTTTATAGACACTTGTTTCTTGTTGATTTTATAGATGTAGGAAAATTGGAAGAGGCTTGAGAAAGGGTTCTTTTCCCAAGGTAGATAAGCATATTCCATTTGTCTGTTCTGTTCTCTGCTCAAAGAGGTTCTATAGTCTTTTGAAACAATTATCCGCTGATGTATTTCCCCAGAATTGTTTGCAAACTCTTCCTGGGTTAGGATAGCCAGAAGCAAAAGAAGACAGAGCTTCTGAACCTTTAACAATTGTGCAGAATACAGAATTCCACATTTAGGGAAGGTACAAGAGCTCCATCATCCTTAGCATCTAGCCATCCTATTGCTGGGTGTGCATTCTCTGCACAGGTTAGAAATGTCTGCTGCAGAGACTCAGTTCTTGCAGTCATCTTCTCTGACGGAAGCTTTGCAGGGGTGAGTTGGTGTGTCGACACTTGTCTTTTAAAAGGAGAGTATAATGTCCTAAATATTTGCCCTTGTGTTTTAGGTCACTTTCCCAACAAGGCCATGCCTTCTGCTGGAACATTGCCCTGGGTCCAAGGGATCATCTGTAATGCCAACAATCCTTGCTTCCGCTACCCAACACCTGGGGAATCGCCAGGCATTGTCGGAAATTTTAACAAATCTATGTGAGTACCAGGCATCTTTTTATTAAACTTTGGTCCACAGAAAAGTACTGGGCTAAGTGCAAAGAAGAGAACTGGGGGGCGGGGAGAGACAAACACCAATGCCCTGGACTGCATTTTTAAGGAGACAGGGTGTTCTTTTCTGTAGCCACGGGAAGCATTTGTACAGATGTGTGGAGGCGGTGGCTGGCAGAGCCTATAACAAGAACAAGGGATGTGAAGAAAGTCGAGTGATCACATGGGGGAAATGTTGGGCCAGAACATGCAGAGCAAGGAATAATGAAAAGTTTCATACAGGCCAAACTCTGCAGGCAGAAAGAAACATATAAGCCAACTCACCTCACACAACCTGTGTTTACCACAGAATGCCCCCCAGGATGGGTGACTACACAGAGACTTCTAGAACACCTTTGCCCAACCTGATGTTTTGGACCACAACCCAGGATTCCTGACTATTAGCTGTGTGGTCTGGGGTTGATGGAAACTGAAGTCCAAACATCTGAAGGGCACTGGGTTGAGGAAGGCTACTCTACCATCATACTGCTTGAGCTAAAGCTTTTCAGAGTTTCTTTTTTACTGTCTAACACTTTCAAATGCAATTCAGTGGCAAAGCAGAGAAAAACCCAGGGTTTCCTCAAGCCTCTCCTTTTGACGTGTTGCTAACTCCTTCAGAAGCTCTGGCTTTGTCTTTGTATCCTGCCATCAAGTCATCTTTGACTGCCAGTGACCTCATGAGTGAAGGCCCTCCAAAATCATAGAAACAGAGAGACAGAGAAGCAGAGGGAGGCAGAAGGGGTCTCCTGGGCCATCTAGTCTGACCCTGGCTCCAGCCAATTCCGCTCATGACATGCCCACCATGTGCATGTCCAGCTTCTCCTTGAACACCCTCACCGATGGGGCTTCAACCACCTCCCATGGAAGCCCATTCCATGTCCTAGGGCAGTGGTGGCGAACCTATGGCATGCATGCCACAGCAAGGACACAGAGCCCTCTCTGTCAGCACATGAGCCAAGTCACCCCAGCATCGCCCCAGCACCTGAGCATCAGATCACAGCACACATAGGGCCCATGTGCATGTCCTCTTCTTGACAGCCCTTTCAACTCATGTAAACTCAAGGCTGTGGCTTTCTTTATTGAGTGGAGCCATCTCGTATTTGGTCTTCCCACTCTTACTCTGCTCTCAGTTTTCCCGAATTGCAGTCTGGGGGTGCTCTCAAATGGATAACCTCAGACTACCCATAAAAGGGCATTGCAGAGCTGTTCCATCTTTTTTAACTGATCCTCTGTAATAAGTGAAGAAGATGGAGCCAGTGGTAAGAAAAACGGGAAGGTTACAAATCAAAGATGGTGACATCTGCAGATCCAGTAAAAAAAATTCACCTGAGGCAGGGTAATAGCATGACGAAAGGGGCCTTATCCACAAGTACACTGGCTTATCCAAGTATTTTTGTCCAGCATGATGATGGATGACAACAGTCCTACTGAGAACAGTGAACTGGCTTCTGCCCAAGTATTCTGAAGAGGTTATGACCAGGCATACTTTGCCCCATAATCATGATTCGTGCTTCTAACCCTTTGTGCCAAACTTAAAGTGTCATTTTAAGGTTCCATTTAGATGCCTGGAAGCACTTCCTGACAGTTAGGACCCCGAGGGTGTGGAATGGGCTTCCACGAGAGGTCGTTGAGTCCCCATTGGTGGGGGGGTTCAAAGATAGGCTGGACACGCACATGGTGGGCATGTTGTGAGTGGAGCCGGCTGGAGCTGGGGGTCAGACTAGATGGCCCAAGAGGCCTCTTCTGACTCGCTCTGTTTCTATGTGGACCCCTTGAGGAAATGTGGTCTTTTTGCCACAACTGGTGTTTCCGATGTAAAGGAATAAGACATTTCTATGAGCAGCTTGTAAAATTAGAATCAAAAGTGTATGAGCTAGCCTTTTTGGTCCAGCTCTCAGGCTTTTCTCAGGAGTTTTGCTAGCTGAGGCATAAAATCCAAAATGAAGCCTCCCATACTAATTAACACTAGGTACCTTCCTTCCTGCAAAAGCCTTACTGAATCATTATTTCATATGTTGAAAAGGTGGATTGCCCTAGTATTATCCATGTTTTTATTTATTAAGCTTATATGTTTTTATTTATTAAAACCATGGGAGGCTTGGTTGGTGGCAACAAGCAGAAGGGCCTTTTCAGTGGTGGTCCCTCTGTTGTAGAATGAGCTTCCCACTGAGGCCTGCCTGCAACTTACCTTATTATTTTTCAATGCCAAGTCAAAACTTGACTTGGTTTTTACTTAGTTGGGGCTTTTAAAGGTTTTTAATGCAGGTCAGTCAGGTTTTATGTTTAAATTATCAGAATTTTATATTTAAATTGGGTTTTAAATGTGGTGTTTTAACTGTTGTTTTAATTTTTGCAGGGTATAATAAGTTTCCCCTTAACGTTTTTATATTGTGGTGCATTTCAGACAATGTTTTAATAGATTGTTATATACTGCCCAGAGATTTTTGGCTGTTGAGTGGTATAGAAATTAAATAAAGAAATAATATTTATATCCCCCCTATTCCTACTGATTTGGGCTCCAGATGGCTCTATACCAGCTTTCTCCATCTTCATTCCCTCCATATGTGTTGAACTACAGCTTCCATCATCCCCCAGCCTATAGCCTAGGCCAGTGGTGGCAAACCTATGGCATGTGTGCCACAGCGGGCATGCAGAGCCCTCTCTGTTGGCACGTGAGCCGAGTCGCTCCAGCAGCTGAGCATCAGATAACAGTGCACACAGGGGCTATGCGCATGCTCAGAAAGGAGTAGTGGCACCAAGCGATGATGTCACAAGCTGTGACTTGTCTGAGCTTTCGCATGGCTGGTCAGTGCGCTGCCAAGGAGAGAGAGAGAGAGAGAGAGAGAGAGAGAGAGAGAGAGAGATGCATGTGTGTGTGCTTGGACTGGCTATGAGTTTTAATACATTCGTTTTTATTAACACAAGATTTTAGCTTTGAGTTTTCTTATGTATGAGGTTTTTTTCCTAAACTAAAACTTCAGTATTCAGGTTTTGTTGCAGTGTTGGCACTTTGCAATAAATAAGTGGGTTTTGGGTTGCAGTTTGGGCATTCAGTCTCTAAAAGGTTCACCATCACTGGCCTAGGCTTTGGGGGGCAATGCATCCAATAAAAACAAAACACTTAGATCTATAAAATCAAGAAGGCCAAAATTACATGCACAACAAAGTACAGCCATAAAAGCAGATTCCCCCACAGTGACAAGGCAGTAAATAAAACAATCAGAGGGTAAAAGAGCTCCAAGCACAACATTAGAGCATAAAATGCAAAATTTAGGTAGGAGTTCTCTATAGTGCAGCTCCTCAGCTGCATTCATTTCAATGGGACTTACAAAAGAGAACTTGCGAGTGTGGGGATCTATGTTTTGTTTAAAGAATGATGTGGCTAGATGGAGTCACTGAAGCAGTTGGCATGAACTTAAGTGGACTCTGGGGGATGGTGGAGGACAGGAAGGCCTGGAGGAGTGTTGTCCATGGGGTCACGATGGGTTGGACACGACTTCGCGACTAACAACAACAACAACAACAACAAATCATGCTAATACCTTACCCTCTAATTTTGTTTCTTGTTCCTTTCCTACTGTCTCCCTAACTTCCTCAGTGTGTCCCGGTTGTTCTCCGATGGCAAGCGTTTGCTGTTATATAGCCAGAAAGATACCACTATCAAGGATGCACGAAAAGTCATGGCAAAACTGCAGAAAGCTGGGAAGTCCATTTCAGGTAAACATACAAAGGGTGAACCATGGATTTTGCAGAGGGTTGTATTATTGTGTCAATAATTCAGAAAAGGTTTATAGTTGAGTCTGTGATGCTTAAGCTTGAGACAGCCAGCTCATGAGCTCTGTGACTAATCGGTTCTCCATTATGATGTATTGCCAAATGTTAAACCAGCCGCAATAAATTTTGTCCACAGTTTCATTTGAATGGAGAGAAAATGTATTTACATGGACTCCCCCACTGCAACAAAGAGTTTATTTTTCACTTGCCTCCCCACTATCCCTTTGCTGGATTGCTGTGGTTATTTGAAGGAAAGGCAGTTTTCATATTCAGAGTACAGCTGAACCACAAACTGGAAATTAAATAAGACTGTAGCCTCACACAGGCATACTTGAAAAGTCAGAATGAATTAGTTCAGAGAAAGCGACATTGCCCTTCACCCTGAGAGGCCTTGCCTCCTCCAGATTGTCCGAAGTCACTGCTTATGGTTCCTCTGAAGAGGAAAAAAGATCCTTGAGAGGAGGAGGAAAAGGAGCCCAATGTACCTGGTTGCAAGAGTTTCTCCAATGACTGCTTGAGCCAGTGACTCAGGAAGTAGCCAGGCATGCACTTGAGGGGGATATAGAGCCCCTGGGCCAGGATGACAGAAAATACGTTTAAAGCATCCATCCTAATGTGAAATACACGACTGTTTCTCTTTCAGAAAGCTCTCCTGCCTGTCTCAGCAAGGCTTGAGCAGGGGCCTAAATAGGCTCGGAACCCAGAGTTTGCCCACTCCTGCCATTGAGCAGACTGCCTGTGACAGAGTCTGTGTGTCAAAACAATAAAAAAAAGTTGCCCTCTGTACCACCATCTTGGCAGCAGTGTGCCCCTTTCCCTGTCTCCCTGGCCCACGAGAGAGATGCTAGCTTAGTTCAAGTGGGAGGGCCAAACCTGACACGATGACAGTAGCCCTGTTTTTTATCTGTGTTTCTGCCCATTTAACACACACTGGCCTGGTTCACACAGTTAGGGAGAGAGACCTCAGTAGCTTCTTTCTCCGGCCCCACACAAGCTGGTTGTGTGCTGTGCAATTTGCTTAGTGAGCCTTGCAGGGTGTTGGCTTCCCATGTCACCTGAATCAGGCAAGGTGCATGGTGGGGGTGGCTTTGAAACCACTCCAAAGCCCATGGCTTGTTGCAGGGTTCTGGGGTGATTTTGAAGCCACCCCCGGTCATATACCTCACTGGGTTTGGATCACATGGGAAGCTGTGAGCCATGAGAGTAATTGGGCAAATGGTGCAACATGAAACCTTTGTGGGGGCGGGGGGGGGGGAGTAATTGGCCACCATGGTGTCTTCTCATCACCATGCAAACCCAGCCACAGTGCGTGTATAAAATGTGTGCCTTATTTTAACATAAATGGGGTTGTGTGGATAAGGAGAGTTTTACTTCACTGCGTGCTTTGTCACTTCTGGAACTTTTTCTTCTCACAGCCATTTCTTTGGCATAAGAGCTGGGCTGGGAGAGAAAGTGGCAGTAGCAAAGTGCAGTGAAGTAAGATGGGAGAGGCAGGAGGGCTCCCATCTTATGAGCCGCATACAAATTATATCCCAGCCCTTGCTTTCTGTGCAAAGGCACCTGAACAATAAGCTTGGCTGCCCTCTTACATCTAGGGTTTTTTTTTCCTTAGTTGCCTGGAGGTTCCTCCTCCCCACTTCTCTCTTCTCCAGTATAAGAATTTGGTACTACTTCACCAAGTTTCTGTCCAGCTTTTAAAGGGAGCACAGTTTCTTTGTAATGCAAAATCACAATCCTCAGAGAGCTGAAAGGAAATTCATTTGAGAATCTGCCAGGGCTTTATTGTATTGCATTCATATCTGGAATATTTTGCTTGGCCCGATTGTTAAGGGTTTTATAAGGACTAGTGGTGAAGTTGAATACATCTGTCTTATTTGTTTGTCAAACCAACTTTAAGGGACAATCCTATATACACATTCCTGGGTCTAAGTCTTATTAAAGGCAATAACTGGGTTCAGACACTAGGTTAACCCACACTCCGGGGTTGTTATTGAACTGTAGACTGTTGCTAAAATTTGGGTTATCCTGTTGCCTGAACCCAGCTTCCATAAGAAGCTATGGCTTGTTAACACACAACCCACAAAGAGGGCCTATGGTTTACTGCTGAGCTGTGAACTGTCAGTTGTTTGCCATGGTTGTTGTCTCGGCTCAGACAACACAATAACCCATATTTGAGCAACAACCCACTCTCAACTCTTGACATGGGGAGCTTGTCTGAACCCAGTCTTACCTCTGAACAGATAAGCATAGGATTGTGCTATTAGTTATTTTTTCAGGGTGCTTAACACTGATTGTAGATGACGGAATGAGTTGTCAGATCAAAGCACAAACATTTTGTGGTGCAAACTGACAAAAGTACACACATGCACACCTTTTTATCAAGTTTGGAACTGAGGAAAATGCAGACTGGTACCTGGTAATGGTGGCACATGCACTGGTTAGCATTTACATCTTAATTGGACTACCTTAAAGTCCTCTACCTGGGGCTGCCCTTGAAATTCGCTTGGAACTGTGCTGCCATTAAAATGGTGATGGGGCAAAGTGCTGCTATAGTGTCACTCTGCTGGCTGCCTTTGTCATTCTGACTGCAATTCAAGGTCCTGTTATTACCTTAAAAGTCCTAAACGGCTTGATACAAACTACCAGAAAGGTTGCCTACTCCCATGTCTTTTTAAGCTCCACTGTTGCGTCACTGTTGTATATGCCTTTGCTTTCTGACATAATGATCGGCAGCAGCCCCTGAGTGGGCTTTCTTGGTGGAGGGCTCCTGTCAGTGGAAGTTCCTGTCTAGAGAGGTTAGGTGGTCTTCCTCTTTTTCTGTGTTCCTTCCGTAGTAGACATTTCTCTTTAAATAAGCAATAGATTTCATTGTTGGTTAATTTAGACTTTGCATTTTTTGCATGTGTTAATTTGATTATTAGTTTGATGATTGGCAATTATTCTTTTATGTTGGTTTATTTTGTAAACTGCGGCAAGCAACTCACTTCTTTGGAGGGGAAAATGAGGTATAAAAATTCATGATAAAACTTCTCTGACTATTTGTTTTAAGACCTCTGGTTTTTAATGTGTTGAAATAAACCCTCTCTAAGCTGCTGAGGTATTACTTCTTTTTCTGTCCCTATTCTTATCCGCCTTCTAAGCCACCTTCTTTGTTCTTTCAAGAAAGGCAGGGCAGCTTGCATGTTCTTCCTTCTCTCCATTTTGTCCTCACAACAACCCCTTGAGCTTGGTTAGGCTGAGAGTCCGTGACCCAAAATCACCTAGTGAGTTTCATGGCTGAGTTGGGACTAGCACATACGTTTCCTGAGTCCCAGTCCATACTCTTAACTGCTACACTGGCTCTCAGTATATAATGGAATGTATATGAATTTTACAACTGCTTGGGGAACAACTATTGGCACACAAGGCCTTGGGAGCAATAGTCCTGTGTGCTTTTGGCGAGATCAGGAAGCTGTTCAGCTGAGAAGGATGTAAACAGCATCATTGACTTGTTAATGAACAGTAAGATTTGTATTAGGGTTTTGCACGTACAAGGGACATACACGGTATCTGGTATCTGAAGCAGAAAAGAGAAGTCAGTGGGATGCTTAGGATACATTCTGTTATCCCTGCCTGAAAACTGGGATAATATTGAACTTTACTTTGAGCACTGGTGGCATGTGACTGGCACATGTGCGATTATCTGGTGTGTGTGTGTGTGTGTGTGTGTGTGTGCGTGAGAGAGAGAGAGAGAGAGAGAGAGAGAGAGAGAGAGAGAGAGAGAGAGAAGGGAACATGTGACAGTTAAGGTAGAAAGGATATATGTGATGTATCAGTGAATCTTCCTGTATTTCCTCTCATCCTCCATTAGAATTGGGTTTTCCAAAAGTTTTCAACAGATAGAAAGGGTCACGTGCCACTTTTCCAAGTGCTCCAAGTGTTCAATGTTTACAACAGCTCTGTATGGCAGGCACTGTTCTTACCTCCGTATTGACAATTTGGGGAGGCAAAGGGAGGGAAGGAGACTGAGAAAACAGTGGGTTGGCTAAGGCTGTATTGTGAGCCAGTGGCTCTGGTAAGCCAGGAACTCTTTTCAGCATTCACTTTTAAGTACTACCACTGAAGAAAGGAATAACAGCAGTCACTCTCATAGCAAATCCCAAGCAAAATTTCTGAAGTAATGCAAATTAGCAAATTGATAAGGAAAACAAGGGCAGAGGCAAGCACGAATTTCCTTAATAATGTAATGAGTATAATGCAATCAAATGTGTGGATACTTAAAACAGAAGAAAGAACATATTTTGCTGTACTTTGGAAAGTCTGTGGCAGACTCAGTATTGTTTGTGCAGCCTGTAGTGAACAAAAGCATAGTTGTCCTTTATGTTGCACTTACTTACCCAGTCTCCAGGGAAATTAGTCAGAAGCTGTTGTAGCAATGACCTATTGCTTCAGGGCTCCATCTCAGGGAAGGCGAAAAGAACACAAATGCAGTAATGAAAAGGATCTTTCAGGAAGAGATGACCGTTACTTAAACAGCCAGGAGGGAGATACCCTTAAAAGCTTTCTCTGTTTCCTGAATGGAGGAAATTTTAGGGTATCTCTTTTACCCAGTGAGTTTGCTTGGAATGTTTACAGGTTTTTGTAATACCTTTTTATTTGCAAATATGTGAATTGAGCTCAAAAAGGGATTAGTCAGTCCTCTCTCAGATAGGCAGCACTAATCTTGAATCAGTGCTGGCTGCTAAGAGTGTCAGCACACACAGGGCTGTCAAACAGAGGGTGCGAACTCTTGCTGGGCCAGAATGCTTCCCCGGCTTCCCCTAAAATTTCCCCTCTCATACAATAACTGCATGGTGAAAGGACTCATCAAGATGGCTCTGAAAGATATGCCCCCAAGGAGAGTCCAGAAATGCAATTGGGATGTTGATCCATATTAACAAACCAGTTCCAGCAGTTTTCATTTC